ATGGAAGTAACTAAAGTAAACTAGTCTAGCAGTACTAACATCGGTAAACTCATGTATTCTGCGGACAGCGTATGCAGCGGAGCTTAATCTGATTGTTCATTACAATTACAAGAAGCCGTGGTAGCCAAATGGTTTGACCTAGATACCGTTTAAAAACCATATAAAATCAAAGCCACACATATTATAAATTCAACACAACAATAACAAACTAACGACCGCAACATTAAAAACAGATCAAAAGGAACAGAGAACAATAAGAGAATAAAATCAAATACGTTTTCTCAAACAAGTTAAACAACGCAGCAACAAAAAAAGTGCAGAAAAAATTTCATAAAAGACAATTGCTTACATATTTTTCGGTGAGGAGCTCTATCATGGGTTCTCGGAGGATTTAGGTCGTTTACACTGGCTTCATATGAGAGAGTCTTAAGGCATGTTATGAGATCGCATATGAAAACGTCTGAGTTCCTGCATGACTGAAATTTTAAACAATCTTACATATACGAAATTTGTCTCTATTAATAATCTCAGTACAGAATACTAAAAAAACCGACCTCAAAAGTACGTGGAATTACGTCTATTTGCTAAGTTTTATTGAAATATCCCCTAGTTCGCCACTGTACAGGACTTGACACTGGAGATAATAATCGGTTCTCACTACTCAAAATATATTGAGAGAAAAACGCCTTGAATTGGAGAAATAGCAAAATCAACCATTAAAATAATTACTTCTAAATTAAAGTTAGGCGCTATTTATAAAAATGAATCTTCATGCGTGAACAGCCACCCATAAAGGTGGATGATTTTCTTCAAAATGAAATGGGACCACTATGGAAGTACCCCCTTTGCAACAAAAAAAGAATCACGAAAATCGGTTCACAAATACCGGAGTTATCGCGTAACATACATACAAAAAAAAAGAACATACAGACGAATTGAGAACCTCCTCCTTTTTTGAAGTCGGTTAAAAAAATATATTTATACGAACTGTGTGCACTTTTAGCACTTAATTCAAAGGTGATATACCAGCAATAGAGCTTCTTGTGAATGAGTTTCGTTCAGGAAAGTACTGACACCTTAATTATTTCAGCCGCCAATTAGTAATGCTGTCCGTTCCGGTTTTGAAGGGTCAGGGTCAGGGTCAATGGGAGACCAGTGCGATGGCGAGAAGAAAGAAAACTAAATATGGGGAATAGCTTAAGACGTTTTTCCGAGAAATTAAATTAAATTAAATATTAGATAACATCACGTAGGGGGCGCTGTGGCAGTGTCCCTGAAATCTTTGCGATTTGAAGCTCGGAATAGCACTCCAACTATTGTGTGTAGGCGTGTCGCTTACCACATGGCAGACAGACTAGTTCGTCCCGTCACTTGATGTTATAGGTCCCACTGCTGGGCACGGGTCTCTTTTTAGACGAGGGTGTAGCCCATAGTCCGCCACGCTGGCCTAATGCGGGTTGGGGACTTCACAGGTTTTCCGAGTGTTATGAACCTTCTTAAAATATATATATATATATATATATATATTATAAGCTATTCCCCTGCCCAGGAGTCTGGTTTACGGTCTCAAAACTATAAAAGGTGTAGCGGGCGCCTGACGAGACATATTACTACCCGTTCGTTCGTAACGTCAACATCTCAGCGAGACTATGTCACTGCCATTTTTAACCGACTTAAAAAAAGAGGAGGTTCTCAATTCGTCTGTGTGTTTTTTTTTGTATGTATGTTACACGATAACTCCGCCATTTGTGAACCAATTTTGATGATTCTTTTTTGTTGGAAAGAAGGTGCCTCAGATGTGGTCCCATTTAAATTTCAAGAAAACTTTCCACCTCTAAGGGTGGCAAACCAGGGGATGAATAACTTTTGAGGTCGGTTTTTTAACCGTAGGTTAGGTTATCGTGAGATATTTACTTATTTCGTTTACTGTTCGTATGTATTATTGATTTTCTTAAAATTATGTTATTTGTAAGATGATATTCGTGTTTGCTCATTATATTTAAGTGTGAGAGATTTGTTTGAATGTTAATAAAAATGTTTAATTGATTAAACGTTACATTTAGTTCAAATTATTTCTTTTTTTTAAGAATTAGTTTTAAATTAGCTAAATAAGTATATTAAATTGAAATTCAAAAAATCTCTCGATCCGTAGGATAATAACTCATTGAGACCAATTAAAAAGGGCCCAAAGACGATAGTTCTACTGTTACACACATTAAAAAATCCTATGCCCTAAATTAAACAAGTAAATTTAAACTTAAAAAACCCGCGACACAAAAAGTGTACTCCAGAATGCAAGCTTACTTGCCGTTGTGCATTGCGTAACTAACGGTTGCCACCGCTAAGCTGTTAACTTTAAAGTCCACTACCAAATCTGCACTTTTGGTGGCGGAGCTGTAGGCACGCTCACCTTACTACGCCAAAGCGTCTCGTCAGTCCGGAGAATATCTAACTCATCCTCTGTTAGCTCTACGGACTAATACCGGAGATGTCAGTCACAGTGTCCTGTGAATATGTCCGGACGTAGCTTCCAATTTAAAGGGCAATTCACGTGACACGCGCGTCTCCTTGCCTTAGGCCCTCGTATAAGACGCGCTAGCAGCGCACGAAACAGACGCCCTGGCCACACACCACCGGAGCAGACGAATACGTCCGTCTCTGCACCTCCCACAAGCCGCGGCGACGCCTGTGAAGGCGTGTCACTGGCTAAGAGCTTGGCCCGAACACCCGCCGTACCCTGGCCTTATCGGGGAGCCCGTAGTTTCCGCAGAAATACCGATCTCACGGGTCAGTTGATAAGGGCAGTTATTTGTACATTACTTAGAAATTAAAGTCCTAAGTACTACATGCTGTCACAGCGACTCGAACCGTCTACCTTCCAATTGAGAAGCAATCGTTCTCCAACTGGGCTAGCACTGTTCAGTACGTAAGTACATACTAAAATCTGATACATTTAAGTGAAAAAGATATCATATTGAAAGTGGCCAAGCGACATGAAAACCGACCCTAAGAATTATGGTGTTTTATAGCCCGTTGGGAAATTATAAATAAATTTTATCGATTGGGGCAAAAGCTAACTAAAATTAATTTTAGTACAGAACATCTGTTTTCGTTAGTTAAGAAAAGGCCATAAGATTCATTTTAGTTGAAAGCCGTCAAATTTTTTAACGTCTGTAGTTTTTATTCATACGTATGCATTTTTAACACAGCATCAAGCTGTAAATGTTACACATCGGGAAAAGTCGGAAATTTCCGAACGCTTCTGCCGCGTCCATAACTTATAAATTTGTAACCGACTTTAAAAAAAAAGGGGGTTCTCAATTCGAGTGTATTTTCTTTTTTTGTATGAATGTTACACTCTAATAATGTAAGTACAGAGTACTAAAAAAACCGACCTTAAAAGTTCGTGAACTTATATCTATTTGACAAGTTTTATTGAAATCCTTTACCGGAAAATGCGCGAAACCGGAATCATCCCCTAGTTTCACACCCTTAGAGGTTCAAATTTAAATGGGACCAATATTGAGGTACCCTCTTTCCAACAAGAAAATCATCGAAATCGGTTCACAAAAGTCAAATTAATCGCGTAACTTACTTACAAAAAAGACAGTCGAATTAAGGACCTCCTCCGTTTTTTATGGTCGGTTAAAAAGAAAATTTGTAGATAAGAATGCAGTTATTGTATTTAATAGCAGCCTACAAAACGAAATAACCAGCAAAACCAGGCAATATCGAGTGAGTTCGCGAATGGAAGCAAAATTTCTATTTCAGCAATATTTATCTTCAGGTAGTTCCAAGTCAGCAAAAAGTTTTATAACAAGGATAATTTTTACTGTTTATTTTTCTTCGTGAAACATAACTGCCGGAGTTCACAGAACTTGTTCTGGCCGTGTTGTCGACTTAGTTCTGGTGAAATATGAGAGACATTTTTTGTTGTGGAAGGCACTTTTTTCGCATTCAACTTTATCTACAAGATTTGTGACGAAAGCAACAGATTAATGTACAAAGTTCAAAGCCGCGAATTATTACTACTAGTTAAAATTATACAACCGTGAATTTTTGTGGATAAATTTTAATCACACTTCGAAACAGAGGGGAAGTTATCAAGATAAAACAATAGCTAAAACCTATGTATACTTATATACAAACAAATAATTCTACAAAAAGTGAGCATTCCACACACTTCTTTGTATACCAGCAATTTATTTGTGATAGAAGCATGACACTTAATAGTCAAAAATCTAAGTTGAACCCAAAGCCGAAGCGCACCCGCCGCTGTCTGTCGAGTAGAGCGCTGGTAACCAGGTGTATCACGCGCTGCTCATGATGCTCCACGAAAAGTACGTCTTTCTGGAAGGTGAGCCCGCCACATTTATCAGAATCAACAAATATTTTTAGTTCCGAACCATTTTGGTAGTTCTTGTGAAGGGCTATAGCGATTGTTGCAGGCGTACCTCGATTGCTCTCGTGGATGATTGTGGATATTCTCATGTCTGATGCGAACTGTTTATACAAACATAACTGGAAGCCCGCTCTGCTGATTGTCGAGGACAGGGTTAAGGATTGGCGCTCGTACCGTGCGCTGATCGCTACTTCTGGCTTCGAAGGATACGCCAGTGGCCTAAGCGTGAGCTCCGTGCCCACGTAGAAATCTGGCTGTACCACTTGCATCCACTGCGTCACGAATTTCAAAGTCGATGGATCGACGTCTTTCATGCTAAAGGTTAAAGAACCGACTGACCTACTTGTTTCCTTCTCCAGAACCAGCTCAGTATCGGACGAGATAAGATCCTTGATTTTAGAGGTCAGCCGCACTTCATACGATCCTTCAATATTTTCCGTGTATGTAGCTGTGGCGCAACCTGTGGTGTCTATTACGAGCCCGTCGTCAGTTCGTTTTGGCTCCATTTCGTTATTGATTAGGTTAGGGAAGCTCCTGTACGTCTCTTTGGACGTGTTGGGGTTGTAGTAGTTGTATTGTTGGACCAACTTTACCTTGTTCATGATTTCCCTCAGGACAACAAGTTTGGCACCGATGAAACATTTTGGAAACACACTTTTCGCTTCAATATGGACGTTCGTCAGTCTTCTCAGGTTGGATTTTCGCGGCGCCACAACGGTAATGATTGATTTCTTCTTTGGGAGGAGTTTTTGGAGAGAGGAGACGAAGCTGCTCACTTCCTCTTTGAGTAAACTCTCGTTGATTTCCATTATCGTTAGATGCCTTGTTATTTTATTTGTTGGTCCGGTCGGACGTCATCGACCCGTCTGAGGCTATTTTTAAGTGTCACTCAGTAGACGTTCGGCCAGTCACAAGGTGCAAAGAGTTTGGAATATAATTAGCTGTCAATAAGTGCTAAATTCCTGCAATAATACTATATGTGATCATTTTAGTTTCAAGTTTATGAGAGAAAAATATTTACTTAATATGTAAGTTACTTAAAAATAAATTACAAAAATATTTATTGACCTCTACCGAATTAAATATAAATTTCTCGATTTCTGTCAACATTTCATTTGTAAAAAATTGTATTGCGATTATAAGTAAGATAAGTTCGTTACATTAGCATAAGTTACACTGTACAATGACTGTACACTAAACTCTTAATTAAACCACAAGTGAATTCGGTTAAAATTTTATGACTTTTCGTGAGTATAGATTGAAAAAAATAGTAAAGCATAATATAAATGTTACGAAATCCAACAGTCGTAACATTTTTGGAAACAAAAATTATTCTATCTTTTAGAATCGTTTGATGAAAATATGCCGAACCTACAATGAATTACTGACATCAGAATCTGGAGGTTTTATTGATGTTTTTGACGATCTTACCATCATATCAATGGCATACACTATACATAGCAGAATAGTAGAAGAAGTTAACGCGAGTGCGTCCCTAAAGTCCCTAAGTGCGTTTCAATTTGTATGTAATTTGTAACCATACTGGTCATATCATAGTATAGATTATATTTTATTACATTTGTTTTCATAACATAATCATACTGTTGGTTAAAATGGACAAATAGTGTGAAATGAACGGATGTTAAAATGGTCTTCGGCGATTCAGATAGCAGCCATGGATCAGAAGACAAGGATAATGAATGTGCTAAATACAAAAGAAATTACCACGACAAAAAGCTCCCAAAGTTGATTGGACACAACGTGTGCGGTTCCATATTATATATTATATTATTTTATTGCAATCAAGAACCATGTAGTCTACATTCTGACATTTGCCATGATTGTCTAATGTGAAGAGCCTTTTGAAGTCCAATTAAGCGGCCCCGTGGTCCAAATTACAGAACCTGTCGGCTAAATTGGAACAAACCTCGGATCTTAAATTTTCGTGACTTTTTAGAAGTGTTTAATAATTATGTTGATTAATGCTTCAAAGTCTAATAGTTTTTGTTTCATTTCATACAAAAAACGTTTGTGAAAATCTTAAAAATATTTATAACGCATTTGAAAAAAATGGTCCAAATTACCAGATATTCCCCTATTATGCTATCATCCTTGCCGTTGTGATGAAAAGATTAATAGCTTTAAACCGCAAAGAACAGGGCGCTTCATCCGAAGAACAGAGTCCGATGTGATTATACAACGAAAAGAGGATAATAACATAATCTCGTTATTCAAACTAGGGCCTATCTGTAGGTGTTTTCAGAATTTTGACATCTTATTTCGTTTCGGAAATATAAAATCATACAACGCGTTGCAACTGTCGATCTGGTATCCACAGCGAAGAACAAGGAACGAAATATACAATGTCCTGAGAATAAGCAATCTTGCACATAGGTATTTTTTCTCCGTAGTAGGGGTACTGCCACTGCGCCCATCACCTTGAGACATAAGTTGACAAGTCCCACGTGCCTGTAATTTCACTAGCACCCTTACCCTTCAAAACCGGAACGCAGTATTGCTTAATTACTGCTTGGCGGCAGAATTAGATAACGTAGCAGTACTTCTTTGGACAAACTGTTTACAAGGAGATCTACTGCTACTAAATATAAAAATATTGGTTCAAAATATAATTGAATAGCAACAGCGATCTTATTAAAGATACGTTCACAAGGAAACCCAGAAAGTTTTCTTGGCGAATGTAAATTGTAACTCCGTTTAATTTGAAACGATATTTCTCGACGAAGAAGTGTTTCGCCATAAATCTTTGTCTCCCTCAAGGTTGGGCGGCGATTTGTCTACCACTTCAACACCTGCTCGAAATCACCCCAGGGGAAACCCTTTCTGAGATATAGCTCAGGTTACAAGTCAGCTTCATTTTGCTTCGATTTTTATTATCCGCCTACGGCGAAACGAAACTACGGACAAATACCATTATCCACCGAAACTGAGAAGAGTTATATAGTAATTTTGATGTAATATTAATTATTGAATATCACGATGTTGTACTATCATGATGTTCAATTTCTTTTTTTGTGAAAATTGGTACTGTACTAGTTTGTGTCAGTTTTGCGATCTGATTATACGCATAGTAATAGTTTAATCAAAATGAAGATTACAAGTGTAATTTTCTTACCTATGAAATAAAGATTATTTGGCTTCGAAACAAAAAAAAATATTTTGTATTGTATTCATTATCGACGATTGAAGGTAGACAGACAGCCAGGCGACGCGAAGCTTTGTGAAGATGTGATATAATATTAGCACATATGCTCTACTTATTAAAGGTTACATTTCTTTGAATGCACAATAATAAAAGAGTAAAGCCGCGCTGCGGAGCACGGCGTATCACGTCGTCGGCAGCTTGTGCCGCCACAGGCGATGCAAAATATAACTTAGCTTCCAAACAATAAGATATATTTGTATGAAATTTAGCGCGGCTTTACTCTTTTGTTATTTTACATTCAAAGAAACATATACCTTATTTCGTAGACAATATGTTCTGTGTTATATTGCATTTTGCAAAGTGCGGGCCGATCAGTTCTAGTCTAGTCCGAGCAATTTCTATTTCATTTTTTGTTTAAAGAAATGTAACCTTATGCAGCAGAACATAAAGTGTTTTTATTTTTCAGAATTTTTCAGAATTTAAAGCGACCATTAAACGTAAAACACACTGACAGCGGGTGCGGGTCGGGAGCACGGCGGGTGTAATTCGGTGTCTTTATATGGATGACAACAACAACGCGCGGGTGCGAGACGGGCTCAAACATATAAATACACGGAATTACACCTGCCGTGCTCCCGACCCGACCCGCGCCCGATTCACACCCGTTTTCAGTGTGTTTCACGTATTTGTCTGTACTTAAAGTTGTTAACTGACGCTTGCCAGTCAACCGCAAATGGATCATGGAAAAAATCGTAATCATAGTTATGAACCTGTAATGAAAACTGGTAATTGGTCACTTTATATAGTCCCTATAGTACTATTATCTTACTACGATTATCAGTTATAATTAAGCTTAGATCTTTTTGTTACAGCCTGTACATGTCGACGAAAAAAACAATTTACAATTTCAAATATTTCATTAAAAACTGAAAGCTAAATAAATGCTTTACATCCAGATTAATGGGGGCTTAGATCTGATAACCCTGTCTTAGAACATTGTTCAATTATAACAAGATTTTATTTCTGAAACAGAAATGTTTGTTTGTATGTTGGTCCCGTATTGTTCATTTTTATTCATCCGTTTGCATTTTCATGAGTTGTGCCCACGCCCGCAAAAGTTTCTTAAGTGTTGGATCCCACTGCTGGGCAAGGACCTCCTCTAAGGAGAAGATTTTAGCAGCAGTAGAGCTCCTTTTGAAGGAGTCCGTCCAGGGAAGTACTGCCACCTTGCCTATTTCTGCCGCCAAGCAGTAATGTGTGCATTACAGTGTTACGGTTTTGAAGGGTAAGGGTGCTGGTGAAATTACAGGCACATGGGACTTGTCGTTATGTCTCAGTGGCAGTACCCCTCAGATTTTTACGATTTAAGACTCTGAGTGGCACTGCAACTGTAATGGACAGGCGTGTAACTTACTATCAGGTGCACGATTAGTTTGTCCCGTCACTTGATATTATAAAAAAAAATCAGATAATCATTATTATTGGTCTTACGTCTGTCACATATTTTTTTGTGACCGAGGTTTTTTCAACAGACGCTGGTTCTAGTCCAGTCGAAGGAATTTTATTGTGTTGTTCGATCTTTACATATAATCGCGAGCTCGCGCGAGTCATCGCGATCTCGCGCGGTGATTGTGGATTATGAATATGATATATATGAATATGAGATATATGAATCAGTGCTGTTCAGTTCATCTAACGATAAATAGACAGCTGAAGCGGCCCTTCCCAAAGCGCGCCATTTCTCCCGGTCCTCAGCTCGTTGCATCCATCTGTTGCCAGCAAAAGAGGGCGTCCTTCACTACGTTTACCAAGCCGTGGTCTCCACTCAAGAACTCGCTTCCCCTGTAGGTGTACTTTCCTACATCAATATTAAATTAGACAATTTTCTGTCATATTTATATTTACTATTGTACTATAAAATTTAGACAATAAAATATTTTATCATTCATTCATTCATTTTATTTAAGAGCCATGCTCTTGTCGGTGTAGCCTCCTCCACCCCTCACGGTCCATAGCCAACTCCTTGACCTCCCTGTAACTGCTCACATTAACCTTTCTTTTTATTTGGTCACAGAATGCCATTCTCGGTCTTCCTCTCTGTCTCCTTCCTTCCATCTTTCCCTCAACAACAACCGTCAATAGTTCGTCGTTGCGCAATAAATGTCGAAACATTTTTCCCCTCCTATTCTCTATCGTCTCCGTCAGGCCTCTCCGTTCCCCAATCCTCTCCAGAACGTCCTCATTAGTCACTCTCTCGGTCCAGCTTATTTTATCATTACAAAAACTTAAATCTATATATACACTTACAACTAAATTTAGTCTATAATTTATACAAGATATACATACACAATACATTAATACAAATTTATAAACACTGCATATCTACTTGTTTGTGGATTTCAATATCGATAAACATCGACCTGTACTACGCCCTAGTTACCGAGCGCAGTACATATGAACTTTTGTTTAGCTTATGTGAGGCGCTGCGCCCGCGCCGTCGCTTCTTTTGTCAACCAGTCGAGAAATTTGCCTTGGGTTATATACTTAAATCTCAAACCGTACGTACCCCACAATCTCGCGATTGATATTAACAGCCATCGCGAGATCGCGCGAGCCCGCGCGGGAAATCGTGTTTCCATTTCCGTGTATAATATACTCTTATGTGGAAAACCACCTTAACCCTTCAACACTGTCA